CTTGGGCCACACATGACATACACTAACACTAATGACAGCTGATGAGCTAAAGATATATTGCAAAAAGAGTTCATAATGTTTTAAGAAAGTTTATGAATTTGTGTTGGTCTGCATTCAAAACCATCCTGGACCACATATAGCCCACGGGCTGGGGGTTGAATAAGCTTCATCTAGAGGAAATCTGGGAGTACTCATTATTCCACAGGCCATTCAAGAGAACGTTGACTGTGAGGATGACAGGTCTTCATGAGGGCCACTTTTTTTTTTGAGATGGAGTTTCTCTCTTGTTGCTCAGGCTAGAGTGAAAGGGCATGATCTTGGCTCACTGCAATCTCTTCTTCCCAGGTTCAAGAATTCTTCTGCCTCAGCCTCCCGAGTAGCTAGGATTACAGGCGTACATCACCATGCCAAACTAATTTTGTATTTTTAGCAGAGACAGAATGAGTTTCTTCATATTGGTCGGGCTGGTCTCGAACTCCTGAGCTTAGGTGATCTGCCGCTTCAGCTTCCCAAAGTGCTAGGATTGTAGGCGTGAGCCACTGCACCTCGCCGAGGGCCATTTTTAATAGAGAGAAAGCGAAGATCATTAGAATTTGAAGAGCTCAGGGCATTGAGGTCTCCTGTGTTGAAGTGTATCTACCTAGACACTCAATGGCCCTTACATTTATATACTTTCTAAAATGCTTCACAGAGAGCTTACCAGCTGTTCCACCAGTTCTGAAAAGTGTTCAATTTCTATAAATGATGAGACTAATTCAAACATTTAGTAACTCAGTTTATTGTAAGAAAGCCAGAAAGTGACAGCTGGAAGAACCAAACCCAACCTTTTTTATTCCACATATTCCTCCCCACATAGACTCTCCCACAGAGTACGTCAAGAAATGTTTTGGGGAAAAAATATCTAGAGCAATGATATGCATTCACTTTGCCCCAAATTGCCACCCCATTCTATCCTGGCTTTTTTCAATTGCTGAAATCATCTTCTTTTAATACGCATAGTTGCCACTCAAATAAAAACTAAAGAAACACTCCCCCTCTCTGCTTCAGGCTGCCTCTTTCTGGCCACTTGGCTATTTCCACGGTCAACACAGAGCTCCGTATGTCTGTTGGGGGTACGACAACCATCGCTGATCATGAAGTTGGTTCAATAATTGAATTGTCAGTGCCTGTCTGTTTCAGCAATAACTTAGAAACAGATTGAAATTTATTAGAGAAATTCTTGTCTGCATAAGGACAGCCTGGTCTGGAAGCATTTTGGAGAGCAACACAAATGACTCAGAGATCACGCTCAGCCTTCAATTGCTCATCTCACTCATCTCTGTTGGTTGCATGTGCCAAAAATACATACGTATCAATTTATATATATTTCCTAGTCAGTAAATATCTGAGAAAAATATTTCTGAGCAGCCATGGATTGAAAGGCAAAGAAAACATTGAAAGGCTCACATTCTGCAGCTGTGGGAGACCACATTGAACATTCCACCCATTCTCTCCCAGATACATGCAGGGCCCATAACTTATTCTGGTCTAGCTATTCAATTTGTGGTTCTACCAGAGTAATTCCATTTCCCATGCTCTCAGAAATATTTTAGAAAGAGAGAAAAAAATAACCTTATATACGTGCACACATACACGCCACCCACAAGACAAATTGGATGTGTAGAGAAGATTGCTTGGCTTGGCCTGGGAACACTTTGCGATGGTAGCACCTTATTATACAGTGATGTGGGCCCCACATGTGTTTCTAAGGAGCATCTGATTTACTAATGAGAGTTCAAGCTGTTTAGGGAAACAATCAGGACATGAAGGAGTTGGAGATGTTTACATCTAGGAAGAAAAGATTTGTCTGTTTGCACCCTGGGTGTGTGGGGTGCCATGGGAACTGGAAGTGTGGGGAATAAAGATCATGACTCTTTGAGGAAACTGGAAGAGCTGCCACGTGGCAGGAACACAGAGACACGTTGTGAGTGACAGGAAGGCAGATTTTGGTTAAATACACAGAACAATGTTCTGGTAACTGTTGCTATTAAGAAATAGAATAGATTACTTTACGAGGCATGGAGTCTTCTGTTCCTAACAGTGTTTAAGCTGAGACTAGACGTCTGTTTTGGTTATCTATTGAAAAAAAAAAAAAACAAAAACGAACATTGGCTTAAACAAAGTCTTTTTAATTTATTTTCTCATGATTCTGCAATCTGGGCAGGGCTCGGCAGGAGCAGTTCATGTGGTACCATCTGGGTGGCTTGAGTGGGGCTGAGGGATCCACTTCAAAAATGGCCTGACTCATAGCTGACAGGTTGGTGCTGATTGCCTCTAGAAGTTAAGCTCAGGCTGTGGGCTGGAGGCCTCAGTCTTCCTCCATGTGACCTCTGCACATGTTTAGGCTGGCTTCTCAGAGCATCACAGTCACAGTAGTTCTTATGTTGTGTCTACCTTCCTCCAGACAGAAGAGAAGTTGCGAGGCCTAATTAAGGTTTAAGCCTAGAACTGGCATAGCATCACATCTGCAACATTCTGTTGGTTGAAGCAGGGTCACTGGGCCAGAGCAAATTCAAGGGGAGGAAACCACATAAAACGTGAATACATCATTGGAGTCCACCAAAGTTACGCTTTATCACAATGCCCAACTAGCTTTATAACAGAGAACATTCATTCTCTGGTAGAATGTTGAAATGAGTGATACTGTGCTTCTTTGAACTCTAAAACTCTCTGGTTACATTTCCTTTCAACCTCCAGTGCCTAGTACAATAACAGGCACATCATGATCATTAAAACAGTACTTATTAATTGATTGATTTCACGAACATTTTATGTTTTCAAGCTGAGATGGGGCTTCAGTCAATAGTTTCACAGGAATGTAGCTCTCTGCAAAACACAATGCCATTTCAAGTCAACAAATGATTATTCTTCATGCTGCACATATAAACTTGGCCCGAAGTAATTCATTTTGTAAATGCTGTTTTTAGACACACAAGCGCAAATCACTCGGGTTTATAAAATCCATTGCACAATGTAAGGAATGATGGGAAGGTATATGACGTTACATTATGTATATATTTTGCTATCAGAATTGGTTTTTTTTAAAGGTAACATTTATGATTATTATTAATGTAAAACACACTCACTATGGCAAATGTATATGAAAATGAGCACACAAAAAAGAAAAAAAATCACTTATAATGACCTATAGGTAACTGCTCCAACCTTTTTGTCCATATTGTAATATAGATTAACCTAAAAGGGTTATATTATTATTTAATTTAACTTCACCATAACTTATTTTCTATGATACTAAAAAATTCTATATTGAAATAATATATTTTATGTTAAAATATTTAATAATATTAAAATCCTTATAATTTTTTTTTGAGATGGAATCTTGCTCTGTCACCCAGGTTGGAGTACAGTGGCATGATCTCAGCTCACTGCAACCTCCGCCTCCTGGGTTCAAGCAATTCTCCTGTCTCAGCCTCCCAAGTAGCTGGGATTACAGGCACACACCACTACACCTGGCTAATTTTTGTATGTTTAGTAGAGACAGGGTTTCACCATGTTGACCAGGCTGGTCTCGAACTCCTGACCTCGTGATCCACCTGACTTGGCCTCCCAAAGTGCTGGGACTACAGGCATGAGCCACCATGCCCAGCCACAAATGTTTTTTAGTTATGTCAAAACATATATAATTGTGCCATATGTAGATACCATAATATACTTATTGTGCTAATCTTAGGTTTAAAATTGTTTGAAAATTTGGCTGGGCCAAGGTGGGTGGATCACGAGGTCAAGAGATCAAGACCATCCTGACCAACACGATGAAACTCCGTCTCTACTAAAAATACAAAAATTAGCTGGGTGTGGTGGCACACGCCTGTAGTCCCAGACTGAGGCAGGACAATTGCTTGAACCCAAGAGGCTGAGGTTGCAGTGAGCCAAGAACGCGCCACTGCACTGCAGCCTGGAGACAGAGGGAGACTCTGACTCAAAACAAAAGTTTCGTTAACACTCAATATCATAATATTATAATTTTTTTCTGCATAAAGACTTCTTTATTTAGAAATATAGCTTAAAATATGCTTCAAGGAGATGTATTAACATTGTGTATTTTATTCCATAAACATTTATATGAACACCTACTATGTCTAGACACATTGCTAGGCTAATTTTAAAAAAAAACTATATATTGATTGTTCACTTACTATGCACCAGGTACTGTACTATATTAAAGGATCTACAATTAGTTTGCTAAGGCTTTTGTAACAAATTCCACACACTTGGTGGCTTAAGCAACAGACATTTTCCTACAGCTCTGGAGGCTGGAAGCAGGGCTATGTGCCTTCTAAGGACTCTAAGGAAATACCCATCCTTGCCTTTTTTCAGCTTCTGGTAGTTGCCAGCAATTCTTGACATTCTTTTGCTTGGCTCTAAGTAATTGTTACTTATGATCGAGTCACTTCAATCTGTGTCTCTGTTACCACATAGCCATCTTCCCTCTGTGTGCCTCTGTGTCCAAATTTCCCTCTTATAAGGACACAAGCCACTGGGTTAAGGCTCCCCTAATCCAATATGATCTCATCTTAACTTGATTACAGCTGCAAAGATATTATTTCTAAATAAGATCACATTCACAGATTTTGGGTGCACGTGAATTTTTGGAGGACAGTATTCATTCTAGACAGTGTTCCATGAATAATCTTTTCTGATCCTCACGGTTACCCTACTGGCTTAAGTATGTTGATCATACTGGGGCTTAGAGAAGCCAATTATCTTTTCTAGGGTCACACAGTGAGGAAACTGTGGGGCAGGTGTTCAAAGCCAGGAGCTCCAGCTTCAAGGCCCCTCTCGAGCACACCAGCTCTATTGCTAGAGGGGCTATTTGTATCAGAGGCCAACAGGTTAGAAAAACTAACAAAAGTGATTTGCTTGTCCAGTCAAGGGGATCATCAATCCCCAACTCTGTGGGTTACAATGAGCCCATGTTTTGTTTTTCTCTGTCATGAAAGGCGGGAGCCTTGGAAAAGCTGAAGAATGGAAGTGAAGAGGGGAGGACTGAACAGGGTCCCTTAGAGCTGCAGGTGGTAAGGCCAGGGAAGTCCTGCTAGGTGTTCAGAAGTAGCTGCAGCCACAGTAGGAAGCCAGCCATGGGACTCTGAGGCGTTCCGGGGCAGGGAGGGCTATGGGATGGCTCCGAGCTGTGCTGATGCTAGAGGCAGCAGAAGCAGAGCTTACAGCCAATGAGATGTTCCTCTCCTAATGAAAATTTGCATCTCCCCTCCCATGCCATGAGAACACGTCAACTGCTTAAAAATAGCATCAGTCAAGCCCCTCTTAGCTTCATTTCCACGTTCACATCCTGAATGCGAGGTTCTAAACTTGGAACTGACAAAAGGCAGCTGAAGGGTTGCCTTTCAGAAAATAATGAGCTTAATGGGCTTTTTGACAAAAGGTAGAGATTTTCATTTTCTACTGTCCCTTTGTTTGGACTATTTTCTGTTTCTTTCTTTTTTTTTTTTTTTTAAGGTGACATGTACATCTTTGTTTCCAATAATTGGATCTGGGTTGAAAGAAAAGCCTCTGTGAAATGAGTTTCCCGTGAAAATCAGACCTCAACCTTGTAATGTGAAATGGTAGGAGGGAGCTTCTGCTTTAAAGACTGGAATTGTGGAAAGGTGGTCCTCCCCCGGTGCTGTTCTCAGAAAGGCGGGCCGTCGCCTGGAGGAGTGGAGAGAAGGATGTCTCCATCTCAAAGGGGATGGGGCTGAGTAGTCCTGGGCTCCTTCTGCTGTCCCTGCGGTGGAGCCACAAGACCTCTGGAAGACCTTCCTTGTCATCTGCCGTTTATCACCTTAGAGACTCCTCTGTGCTGTGTCTATCTTCTTTGCTTCCACTTTTAGCAAGAAAAGGAAAACTCCCTTTTAGTAGAACACTATAAACTTTTCAGTTAAAATAGCAAAGGGAGCATATGCATCTAACATGCCTCCCTCATCCCAATGTCAAATCCAGAAAGTAACCCAAAAGAGAAGAACGTACGTGAGCGCGGGAGACTGGGGAGGGTACATTTCCACACACACCAGAAACTTCAAGGGATTTTTGCAAAATGTCATGTAAGGGAAATGAGAGGCAGAGAAAGGAATGGGGACGTGTTGAGGGATATGTGTCCTCCCCTACGTGGGGAGGCAGTCGCAATCTTCATCTCTACCTTGTGGCCCATGCTACCGAGATAAGAGGCAAGGTCACGTTCTCTGCTGAGGGCTTCGTGGCTGTGCTGAGGAAGGCTGGGTCACCGGACACTTCTCTAGCGGTTGTGGGGCCCCTGGTTAGCAGCCAGGGGTGGCAGCTCTCATAGCGTTACAGTGGCCCTGCCTGTACCTGGAGATGTTGTGATGGGGGCCCCCAATGGCATGGCAGGGAGGAGGAACCACTCTCCCTTTCAATAAGTGTCCTGGATCTGGCAGCCAGTGCAGGGAGTCCACGGTGGCCCTTGTCACAGCGTCTCCAGGTATAGGCAGGGGCACGCTAACACTGTGGGCTCTGCCACCAACAGCTGCTAACCAGAGGTTCCACGGCTGCTGGAGAAGTGGCCAGTGGCCCAGCCTGCTTCAGTACAGCTAAGAAGCAACCTCTGACCTGCCAAAGTAAAAAGCATGGTAAATCTGGGTTTAGACGCTTTCAGCAGTATCCTGCACAATCTTGCTCCTTCTCTTACAGAAGCCACCTTCACTGCCGGTGCTCTCTGGATACAGATCAGAACCCCTCTGCATGCTAAGCAAGCTAAGAAAAGCAGTGGGACATCTGAAAAGCCCCATGATGATGGCTCTGGAAGAAACTGGTCTGGAAACTAAGAGCAAATAGCATCCATATCATGACTCCCTAATTCCTGGGCATGACATAGGCTTATTCCCATAATCAGGAAGACAGCTTTGGAGCGCTCCCAATCTGTGCTCTCAATGGACACTGTTATCTGTGCGTAGAGAATGACACGAGAGCAGAAAAAAGGGTTTTCTGATAAAAAGTACAACTACCGAATTAAAAGAAAAAAAGTCGGCTGAGGTAGAGGTTAGATGAGATGCTCTGAAGTTCTTAGAGGAAAAGTCTCCAGAGATTAATGAAGAAAACAAAACTGAAGAGATAAATATGTGACAGGCATGTAGAGATAAATAAATGACAAGGAGGACAAATTTAGGAAATTCAATATATCCATCATCAGAATGTAAAAGGCAGCAAAGCTCAGAGCAGGCATAGAAGGGTTTTCTGGTAATAGATGACATTTCATTCTTTCATACTTTTAAAATCTTTTCCATAAATGCAGTTCTGAATCACCTTACATGTGTAGAGTTCCATATTTGGACTTTCTCTCTTATTTTCTTAATTAGCCTTGCTAAAGAGTGACTACTTTCAGGGTTTCCTAAGGATATCCATTTATAAGAATCACCTGGAGTGTTGGCAAAGAATACAGATTTCAGGGCCTCTCCCCAAATGTTCTGGATTTTAATTTGGGGAGGTAGGAAGACCTGGAACTTTAATTTTACCAAGCACCTGAGGTTGTCTTATGATCATCTCAGTTTGGGAAACTTGCATATTGTCATTGGATTTTTGAATAATTAATTTGGATTTAACAATTTTATTTAATTTTTGTAATTCATGAATTTCTGATTTTGCCATCATTTTTTCCTTTGGGATTTTTCTTTCTTTATTTTTTCTCCTTTTTTAGATCTAAAGAGAAATCTTTGGCTTATTGATATTTTTCTCTTTCTTTGCCACATAATAAAAGCTTTTAAAACAGAATTTTCATCTGGGGATAGCTTTGTCCAAATTCCATGGTTTTGTATAAGCAAAATTTCCACGGGTATTATTTTCTAAATGGGTTGTAACTACAAGATAATTCCTTTCATTAATCAAAGCATCACTTAAACATTTTTCATCTGGTTTTTGTTTTACTTCTAAAATTTTGTTAAAAATGTTAGTGCCGGTAAAGGCCGTAAGTGCTAGAAGCAATTAGAAATTAGAATAAAAACTATAGGCCAGACGCAGTGGTTCACACCTGTAATCCCAGGAGGCTGAGGGGAGTGGATCGCCTGAGGTCAGGAGTTCAAGACCAGGCCGGCCAACATGGTGAAACCCTGTCTCTACTAAAAATACAAAAACTATCTGGGCGTGGTAGTGCACCCCTGTAATCCCAGCTACTCAGGGGGTCTAGGCTGGAGAATCTCTTGAACCCAGGAGGCAGAGGTCGCAGTGAGCTGAGATCATGCCACTGCCCTCCAGCAACGAGACTCTGTCTCAAAAAATACACACATACACACACACACACACAAAATTTAAAAAAGAAGAAAAGCAATGGCCAATCTTGACATCTAAACAAAATTATAAAGTTATTAGTAGGGATGTATAAATTTGGAGATAAAATAGATTACTAAATAGAGAAAAATGGAATCAAATTTTAGGATACATCAGTGTAGAACAGGGTTTCTCAGTAATGACAGTATCGACAATTTGGACTGGATGATTCTGTGTGTGGTGTTGGGGGAGGACAGGTCCGTGCATCATAGAACAGCAGCAACCTTGGTCTCTACCAAGAGATGCTAGTGTCATGCCCTCCATAACATCCCAGGTTGTGACAATCAAAACTGTTTCCTAGGAGCCCAAATTGCTGTGAGTAAAAACCAATGATTTAGAAAGAAGGAGATCAATCCTTGCTTAACGATGAATTTGGAAACTTGCAAATCTTAAATTCATCTTTGTCTCTTTCAGAATCTTTTCTCTAGCACTGGCTGGCTCCCCGGGCTTTGGAGGGGAGTGGGAAGTAGGAAGAAGATTGTTCTGAAACATACACAGTAATGTGCTCTAATCAATGCATTGATTCTCTTTCTTCTCTGTCCAGCGGAACTCAGGACTCTTTCTATTCTTGGCAACGGTTTCTTAAACCAACATTATTAAATTACCAACAAAAGCAGCTGGAACAATTGCTGCAAGAGAGTTAGCCCTTAATAGACTTCTCCAAAATATTTATTTTACATCACTGAGGGGTGAGTGTTTTAATCTCTTTTGCAGTCAATAAATTGAGGCTTGGGGAGTTTAAGCAAGTGGCCCAAAGTTACAGATGTGCTTCTGAAGCGGAGGAGCTGGAAAAAGGGGCTCAGGTAGCCTGAGCCTGATATATACGCTGGGTATACGCTCTGATTTTTTGGGTAAGATGAAGGTCACTTAACTGTGTCTCCTTTGTCTCTTTCCCCACTGCTTGTAAAATTGCTCATAAAGCTTGTAAAACTGCAGTGCTCTGAAAAAAAAAAAAAATCAACAGATTGCTGAAGAATATAAGGCATTTTTTTCCAGATATCAGAGTTTCCTTGTTCGCCTTGTCTTTCATTTTGTTTCATGAAGTTTATGTTTTGTTGTATGAAAGATAAGAAAAGGAGAGTCAGAAAATGCAGATGCTATTTCATCTGCTAATTCTGCTGATAGCAATCTATGTTAATGAAATGAAGTAAAGCTATTTTGCAATACTAAATATTTGTCATAGTGTTATTTATAATGGCAAAACCTTTGGAAAAGGTCAAATGTCCAAAATAGGGCACTGGGTTGCTAAATTATGATTCCACTACACAATGAGTTATTACAGAAATATTTTAATTATTTTTTTGAGATGAAGACTCGCTCTGTCACCCAGGCTGGAGTGCAATGGCATGATCTCAGCTCACTGCAACCTCTGCCTCCTGGATTCAAATGATTCTCCTATCTCAGCCTCCTGAGTAGCTGCTAAATTGTTTTTATAATGTTATTTTACTAAATGGGTTAATTCGTCCATTCTTGTATTGCTATAAAGAGCTATCTGAGACTGGGTAATTTATTTAAAAAAAGATTCAGTTGGCTCACAGTTCTGGAGGCTGTACAGGAATCATGGCAGCATGAGCTTCTGGTAAGGCCTCAGGAAACTTCCAATCATGGCAGAACTCAAAGGGGGACCCAGCATATCACATGGGGAAAGAAGGAGCAGGAGAAAGAGTGGGAGGTGCCACATACTTTCAAATGACCAGATCCCTTGAGAAGTCACTCACTCACTATGACAAGGATAACACCAAGGGGATGTTGTTAAATCATTCATAAAAAATCCACCCCCGTGATCTAATCACCTTCCCCAGGCCCCACCTTCACTACTGGGGATTTCAATTCAACATGAGATTGAAGCAGGGCCACATATCCAAACCATCTCACTAACTTTTTTGTTTTAAGGCGTACGTTAATTGTAGAACGAATTTAATGGTACTGAAAGGTACAAAGGTGAAAGTAAAAAATCATGTTAAGTATTCATTAAGTATTACAACACTCAGTATAGTAGTCGTTAGCGCTGTTGATGAACCCACCAGTCCTCTCTTTCTCTGGACATAATAAAATGGAACTTTCCGTCGCACTTAAAGTTCAGTGTGATCATGTGACTTGTGAGCAGCCATGTCTGTGCCCGTTTTCCGACACACTCATCAACACTGGGTCCGATCAATATTACCAACCATTGACAATCTGGCAACCTGACAGCAAACACTTATTTGCATTTCCTTGGTTGTCTATCTTTGATTTCTTTAGCTGTCTTCCTCTTTATGTATTTATTTATTTATTTTGATAAATCTCAACCATGTCATACTGAACACGTACTAACCTTTTGGGAAAGGACCCCTTAAGTCGTTTAACTAATTTTGACTGTAAGCATTCTTTGCATATTAACCCATTGCCAGCAAATCTTTATCCCTCTTTTGTCATTTTCCTTTCAGTTTGGCTCATTTTTTTTCATGAAGAAGTTGATATTTTATGGTCTAATTTTAACCTTTATGAGTTTTGGTCTTGTGGCGTGTTTAGAAAACACTTCCTCACTTCAAAATCATACATATTCATCTAAAGCTGGATTCTAGTACCTTTATGTTTTCATTTTTTAATACTTAAATTTTTTATTATCTAGAGTTTATTTTGGAGTAAGGAGAGAAATAGTGGTAGTATTTTTTCCTCCTCCCTCCCTCCCTCTGTCCCTCCCTCCCTCCCTCCCTCCCTTCCTTCCTTCCTTCCTTCCTTCCTTCCTTCCTTCCTTCCTTCCTTCCTTCCCTCCCTCCCTCCTCCCTCCCTCCCTCCTTCCTTCTTTCCTTCCTTCCTTCTATTTTGTGAGACAGAGTCTTGCTTTGTCACCCAGGCTGGAGTGCATGATTTTGGCTCACTGCAACCTCTGCCTTCCTGGTTCAAGCGATTCTCCTGCCTCAGCCTCCCAAGTAGCTGGGACTACAGGCGTGTGTCACCATGCTCGGCTAATTTTTTGTATTTTTAGTAGAGATAGGGTTTCATCATATTAACCAGGATGGTCTGTATCTCCCAACCTTGTGATCCACCCTTCTTGGCCTCCCAAAGTGCTGGGATTTCAGGAGTGAGCCACCATGCCCAGCCTTGTC